GAAATGTTATTCACACTGTTTTCATAAACAACAACTTCATAGCGAAATTCCAAAACACAAGCAAGCCACTTTCAAAAAGAAAAAAAAGAAGAGGCAGTACTTTTGAAAGGCACACAAAAAAAATGGTGGCGTAACATTGTAGGGCACAGTTCCTTTGAAAAAAGAAAAAAAGATCCGCTCACACATTAAGAAAACAATGTCTTTAGTAAAAGGAAAAGATACAAACGGTTTGTGCACGCTTCGCCGGGCGGGGTGTGGTGCAAGGCATGAGCGAAAAGCGAGTAGGTGAAACAAGTGAATTTATTTCTGCAAATAGGCTACAAGGCAGCACTTTTACACGTCAATTTTATCAAGCGAACGATGAGGCCGACATTTCCTAACTGACTACTCTGAGAAGAAATGCCGAAACAAACTCAGAGGTCTGTCTCTTTTAAAGTCCAGACAATATGTATACCTCTAATAGATTATGTGTGAGAACCGTGCAAGTTCTTTCTGTAGTTTAGAGGTATGGAGTTTCTTGCTCGTTCTTCTCCATTCGAATCTACATTTTGGAATGAGCACCTAGCTTCACCTAGCTTCACTGACGGACTGACTGACAGACTAACTATTATTTATTTTGTATTTGTCGACGTTTCAAAAGTACCAAATTATGGTTAAATTGAAATAAATGCTTTGACTTTGACTTTGACTTTGAGGAGGATTTAATGTTTGTAGCAGCATATATTTTCAAATCAAGTACCTAGGTTCAAATTTTGAGCTGTTTAGAGTCGAACAGGGCCATGGGGTCCCAGGGCACATTCGGTTTATTAATGGAGTTTCTTGCTCGTTCTTCTCCATTCGAAACTACACTTTGGAACGCCCGCTTCACTGACTGACGGACGGACGGAAATTCAATTTTTCAAGAGTACCTAATTCAGGATAATTTGAAATAAATGCTTTGACTTTGACTTTGAAAAAAAGAATTTGCCCGTAGGCTAATCGACTCTTTCGTTTCTTATTTGAATCTTTATTTTGTTATCTGTGCAGACTATGTATCGATTGGGTAGTAGCTCGTCAGGCATGATCACGTGGCCGTAGAATAGAAATCAAAATGTATGGGGATGACACTGACAACTGTCAAAATTTACGTCAATCCCATATAATTTGGTTTTCTATTCTACAAGTGGACAAGCGCTAAATGGCATTTGGCTACAGCTGCTGATCAGAGGAACCTTTTTCTCATAGCTTAGGGAACATCAGATCCTATTTTATAAAAATGATTGTGTGCGATCCCAGACCCTTCACTCAACACTAACACTGTTTTGTAAAGGTATTCTTCTAAAGTGTGTCGCGGAGAACCTAACGGGTAACCGGGGCTCCGGCTCGACGTGCAGGAGAAGGAACGAGGTGGTTTTTAGTCAGTAACAGTCTGACACTCCCTTCCGCCTCACCCAGGCGGGAGCAGTCATTCGATGATTTTCCCCCCTTAAAAAAAAAAATTCTTCTAAAGTGTATTTTAATGTGTCCATCTGGTATGTAGATTAATTTAAAACATTAGACACGTATTTTTGCTTTTTTTACAAAATTAAATAGTTTCGACGATATATTAAATTTGAAATATCGTGTGACTCTTTCCATTCCTAAACTTAACGCCATTTTATCTAAGTATTGTAAACTTTATACGCGAAAATAAAGTAATAAGTATCTAATATTTTTTCATTATCTAACTGACGGACGAATTACGTTTTTAATTTACATACACTGCTAACTCTATTACCTCTGAAAATCGCTTTCAGTTTATAAATTAAACAGGACATTTCATTCTGAAATATTCTTACAGAAACGTATAGTTTAATTGAAATATTTTTCAGGCCGACCCACTGAATATCTAAACATTCTCGACTGAAACTTTTAATACGTTGCTTCAGAGACACAATGCTATTAAATAAATACAAACCTTTGCCCTCGACTTCTTCCTTATTTGCGTACTAGCTTTTACCCGCGGCTTCGCTCGCGTCACAAAAGGATAAAAAGCCAATGTGACATATACCAATACACACTGCGCCATCTATACCAATACTTTTGTTTTCCCTCGGGAATAACAAATTTTTCCGGGATAAAAAGTAACCTATTATTTAATCCGGACTTCTAAATATATTATCTGCAAAAAATCAAAGTAATCGGTTTATTGGTTATGGCGTGAAACCGGAACAAACAAACAAACAAACAAATTGAACTCTAAACCTCTCTACATCCGATTCGGAGTCGCGGAGAACCTAACGGGTAACCGGGGCTCCGGCTCGATGTGCAGGAGAAGGAACGGGGTGGTTTTTAGTCAGTAAGAGTCTGACACTCCCTCCCGCCTCACCCAGGCGGGAGCAGTCATTCGATGATTTTCACACTTTAACAATATGTATATATAAATAGAAACATCCATTTAATGCGTGCAAAACCGAGGTTAAAACCTAGTTTACTAAATACTATAAACTAGATCATCAACTTAAACTATTTTAGCTCAAAATAATCTATCCTACTTTGTGTAATCCAAAAAATAGATTCAGAATTTTTCCGCCAAGCCAAAACCGGCTCTATTTTCTTCAGGCTAGGGTTAATAGTAGCCTTAGATGATTTTCCCCGCTTCAAAAAACCTCTCTACATAAAACGAAAAATCACATTGTGTGCTCAACCCAAAACAACAGTTAAAACAGTAATAATAAACTGCAATCTATAACCAACTTTATGTGATTAAAATAATATCCCTTTTCCCTCAGCATGATTGTTAAATGTGTAGTTAGTTTAAATGTATAGAAAATTATTTTTAAAAATTATAACCAATTTTTTTTTCAGTCCATCAGTAAGAATATTAAAAAATATATTTCAGGTTGTCTTTGGTCGCGTTATCGCAAGAGCGATTAAAAAACAGAAGTATCTGGGTTTGATTTCCGGGTCATACAAAATATTATTCGATCTTTAAATTCTCAACTGATTGAGGTGATGTTTGCTATTACATGGGACTCATAATACAAACAAACAAACATACATAACATCACGCCTTTTTATCCCCGAAGGGGTAGGCAGAGGTGTACATTTCGGCACTTAATGCCACTGTACAATGTAACACCCACTTTTGACTATTTATGTTATGAGTCCCATGTAATAGGGGGTGAGCCTATTGCCATATACCGGGCACATTTTCAGACTCCGTGCTACTACTGAGATTTTTTTAAAAACCCAGTAATACTTTGCCCGACCCGGGAATCGAACCCGAGACCCTTTGCCCGGCAGTCGCACTTGCGACCACTCGGCCAACGAGGCAGTCAAGTCAGTCGAGAGACTCATAATATAAATAGTGAAAAGTGGGGGTTACAATTTATATGTACACCTCTATCTACCCCCTCGATGATATACAGCCAAATAATTCAGTACACAGGTAAGAAAACAATGATTGATTCAGTACAGAGACAAACTAGAGTGAAGATACTACTACGAATTCGTAGCAAATCTACTACGGCGTAGACATTAACTACGCCGTAGTAGATCAAAGTCAAAGTCAAAGTCAAAATCATTTATTTCAATTAGACCAGGAAGGCACTTTTAAACGTCAGCAATAGGAATTTAAAAGTGAAGCTATTTGCTCAATCCAAGGTGTAGATTCCTATGGAGAAGAACGAGCAAGAAACTCCATAGGTTACTCTTTTCCAATCAGGTTCACAATACAAGTCTCCAGTTACACAGTTTTATTGTTTCGATTGTGCGAGAACAATGTAACACCAAAATCCAGTCAAAGAGATCGAAGAAGAAAAGATTGTAGTTCTGATTTAGCTTGAGACGTTATGTTTAGTAATCATCGGTTGTCTAGAGCCGACTGAGTTACAGAAGACATGGCTTCGTTACAAAGCGTACAATTTAGTATAACTATAGCTACTGGCTGGAATATTTAGAGTCCAAAATAAAATAATTTTATTTCATGTGGGAACCGTCGATCAGCCCTATACAAACGAAATGTATGACGGATTCATTATACCTACTCGACATAACATATCATTGTAATACCATAACATTGTATAATTTTATTATTGACATCCTAAACTCGACAGCAATTATGCCTATTGAATTGATTATTACTATGATGAGACATATACCTGACAATTTTTTTTTTTGACTTCCTCGTTGGCCTAGTGGTCGTAAGTATCACTGGGTTTTTTAATATTCTCAGTAGTAGCACCGAGTCTGGAATTGTGCCCGGTATATGGCAATAGGCTCACCCCCTATTACATGGGACTCATAACATAAATAGTGAAAAGTGGGTGTTACATTGTACAGTGGTATAATGTGCACCTCTGCCTACCCCTTCGGGGATAAAAGGCGTGATGTTATGTTATGTTTATTTTTTTTTTCTTTTCTTTATGATTTGTAATATCTACCTACAATGTTAATAACAATGAAAGTGTACCTACATATCTAAAAATGTTGCAATGTCTGTAAGAGGCCGCTAAGTATTAAGCACTGTAATCATTTTATAACCATCATCTGTACACTTAGTTGCAATAAACGCTTTGACTTTGACTTTGACTTTGGCTCTGTACTGAATCAATCTTTGTTATCATACCTAGATACTAAATTGACTGTATATTTTTCTTATTCTAGCTGATGGACCGAAAAAGTATTTTAGTTATCTATTCTAGGTACGACTCGCTCCCTATTACATGGAACTTATGTAAAAAGTCCTATCTAATAGGTGACGAGTCTATACCCAAAGCACAGGGTTCGAATCCCGCGTCGAAAAAAAAATTATGTAAGTTTTTCGATTATATGTATCAAAATTATGTGAGTTTTTCGATTATATGTATCAAAATTATGTGAGTTTTTCGATTATATGTATCAAAATTATGTGAGTTTTTCGATTATATGTATCAAAATTATGTGAGTTTCGATTATATGTATCAAAATTATGTGAGTTTTTCGATTATATGTATCAAAATTATGTCATCTGATATAATATTTGAGTTATTTTTCCCTAGGATGGGAGGATTTGCGTCGTCAGGGCCATAATTGGGGCCAACACGGATTATCAGTACAAGGTACTAAAACTAAATTATTATATTTATATCTACTGTCTAGTGTCTGGTATAATTATATGAATTTCCTATTTCACTCTCTCATGTCTTATAATTCTGTTACTCTCTGACATTTCGTACAAAAAATTTTGTCTATCTTCTTGCTCGTATAAAAGAATTTCGTATAATGTAATTTGGTATAATATAATTTGGTATAATATAATTTGGTATAATATAATTTGGTATAATATTTTTGGGGGATTTTTTTACTGCACCTCTATTTAGAAATTTAAGCAAACCAAATGTCTCCACTAATAACCTACTGCATATCAAAAAAATAAACCGTAAAACAAAAATACTGATTTGCACACTAATTGTTCAATATTTGGTTAGATTAGGTTAGGTTTGTTTTTATATATTTTGTTGCACTCAAAGAATTATTATATTTACTTTTAGTTAAAAGATAGTCATTCAGTAAAACAGTTAAGCTTTAAAGATCTAACAGTATAGTATAATTGATTTATTTGATGAGCAAATTTAGTGTGCAATTCAGTATTTTTGGTGGTAATTTCGAATGTTTTGATTGATAAAAAGCGAATTTACAATAAAAGTGTTAAATACCACCCATATTTTTGTATTGATGACACAAATACATAACGTTACTCTAATATAACAGCTAACACATAAAGGATTATGTGTAATTTCTTTTTGAATAAAGTTCTAAAGCAGTATATTGATGCATAAAGGTGAGGTTAGGTTGTTTTGATAAAATATGTACTACTTTATACTATAATCTCTATGCCAATCCTTCAAATTTGACTGCATGGTTGGCGCGATGGTTCAGCAATTGACTGCCGCGCAACGTGTCGCAGGTTTGATTCCCGCACGGAACAACTCTTTTGTAATCCACAAATTGTTGTTCCGGGTCTGGCTGTCATGTGTATGTGAACTTGTATGTTTGTAAACGTACACACGACACAGGAGAAAATCCTAGCGTGGGGCAGTTTTTGTGTTTAAGAGGAACAAACGTACTTATGCCCAAGATTTCACATTTATAATATCAAGACTTCAAAGTCAAAGCATTTATTTCAATTAAACCATAATTTGGTACTTTTGAAACGTCAACAAATCAAAATCAAATCAAAATCAGTCAGTCCGTCTTTGAAGCCAGGTGCTCGTTCTAAAATATAGATTCGAATGGAGAAGAACGAGCAAGAAACTACATTCGTTACTTTTTTTAAAAATTATGTTTTACAATGTCTCTGATACATATTCCAATACTGTACGTATATGTGAGAACAATTCAAAGACACGCTTGACGCATTATACTAATAACTTACTTAAATAAAAAAAAAATATCTTATAGTCTAACATGGTGCTCACATATGCATACTGACAATCAATAACAATAGTGCTTCTATACAAGAAAAAAACTCTTTGTTTTACTAAGCTGGTTTTTTTTTTTAAGAAAACATTGCCCCACAGTAGGATTTTCTCCTGTGTCGTGGGTGTGTTTACAAACATACAATATCACATACACATGACACCCAGACCCGGAACAACAATCTGTGGATCACACAAAGAGTTGTTCCGTGCGGGAATCGAACCCGCGACACGTTGCGCGGCAGCCAGTTGCCCAGCCACCGCGCCAACCGTGCAGTCAGGACCTGCGTAAAAATTAACATGTTTTAGAAAATTAGGCAAATTGTCATAAAGACAACGTTACCTTAAAACAACGTCAAATTATACCAAATTATGTTATACCAAAAGACTTTACTTAGGCAAAAGAATTGATATAGAACCCTAATACATCTTTCCAGTTTTTTATGTCTAAATTTATATGAAATGTCTCGTACTTGCCAACTAGTCAAATTCAATACTTTTTTCGAACTGTCAAAAATGAGTGTTTTCTATAAATTTTGTACGAGATTGTGTATTGTGACGTCACGTTTTTTAGCGTCAAACAGCATAGTTATTGCTTAAAAATTTGCTGGCAAAATACTAAAATTAAGTTGGTCATAAAAAATAAATTAATGAAAGTGTGATTATTTTTGGTATTGAACAGTCGAAATATTTTATTTTTTATTAAGGAAAGTACCCAAATTCCCAATTCTTTAATACTTATCAATGTTTTAAAACTTCTTCAGTTCTGGTCTTTAAATATTTTCTATTTATTCTTCATGTCTATGTATTTTAATATTTATTTTTAACATAAACTAAATGTTGTATTTTCTTTAAAAATATAGAATTATACTGACTGATTAAACCTCTTTTTGACTTGTATAACGTTATTATTTATTTAATATTTTTAATTATTTATTATTTATGTACACACATACAACACAAAGGACAATACATATATAAAAACAGAGTACATAGGCCCCACATATTCCAACTGGAATTTTTTTCTGTGCCTGTGGCAGGAAAAGAAATAACAACACCGAAACACATAGTGTGTAACACAAATATGATAAAAATCAATAAAAATATAACGATAATAATACGAAAGAAACTAAAGGAAATAACAATAATGATTAATACAATATTATTTCGTTTTCATATATTTTCTTGAATAGTTTTAAATTCTACGATTCTACACACCAAAGAGGTAGACACTAGATAAACCAAATCATATTGCAATCTGTCTATCCTGCAGCTGTAGCCAAATGCCATTTAGCGCTTGTCTACATGTAGAATAGAAAACCAATATGGTAGTGTGGGAGTGCCATGCTTCGGCACGAATGGGCCGGCTCGACCGAAGTAATACCACGACCTCACAGAAAGCCGACGTGAAGCAACGCTTGCGATGTGTTTCGTCGTGTGAGTGAGGTTACCGGAGGCCCAATTACCTTCCCCTTCCCCAATCTCCCCAATCTCCACAATCCCTGAATCCCCAACGATCCTCAAACTCCTAATCCCCAAAAAGCCGGTGACGCACTTGTAGCACCTCTGGTGTTCCAAGTGTCCATGGGCGACGCCGATTGCTTACCATCAGGTGATCCGTCTGCTCGTTAACCGGCTTATGCCATAAAAAAAACAAATTATATAGAATTGACGTAAATTTTGACACTTGTCAGTGTCATCCCCATACATTTTGATTTCTACTCTCTCTGTAGACAAGTGCTAAATGGCATTTGGCTAAAGGCACTGACAATAAGCCTTTGGCTACACTTTATAGTAATATTATAAACGATATGATGTTATCTGTGGCTTGTCAGAATCTTACGTCAGCGTCATATCATCTGACATTGGATTTGGGCAATTTATTTTACTAATAATCATTGTATTTAATAGTGGCCAGTCTCAAGTAGACTAGCTGTATCATTAAGAACCTTATCGCCTAGAAAATAAGTCCTATATGAACTGATTTTTAATTCTATTCGTCAGCATCTAGATTTGATTTCACGACTTGATTCCCCCTAGTCCTTTCCATCATCGTACCACAAGACAATCGGCGAAGCGTCACCGATTTGTGATAGATGTTCCGCCCACACGCACGAAGCGCTTCGCATCAAGCTTTCTTGTGCGTACTACTAAAGAGTGGAATTCTTTGCCAGAGTCTGTATTTCCTGAAGGGTATAACCTGGGTGTCTTCAAGGCCCGAGTGAATAGGTTGCTTATGGGACGACGTGCTCCATCGTAGACCGCATCATCGCTTACCACCAGGCGAGATAGTGGTCAAACGTCGGCCCATCAAATACAATAAAAAATTATGCTGATCCTACTATAATAATAGGTGGGTTCTGCTACAGAAAGTTTGTAAGTAGGTATGTGTGTTTGTATCGATTTCACGCATAAACTACTCAATTAATCTAGATGAAAATGAGCATTGACATAGATTGCGGCACCTGGCTTCCTTTTAGTCCTTCAGTAGTCAAATGTCAAAATCAAAGGTAGGTAGGGGTCCATATAAAGTACACTATTTAGTAGAAGATAGTTCACTCTATTTATGGCAATTTCTGTTGCCCCAATCACGTCCAGGTTCGGGGTGATAGGTACGCTGAAAACACTGGCCTGTACCGTGGAGTAGCTCTGCCGGCGGTCCGGCCTCGTTCACAATTGCGCTTTTTTTAAGGGGGGAAATCATCGAATGACTGCTCCCGCCTGGGTGAGGCGGAAGGGAGTGTCAGACTCTTACTGACTAAAAACCACCCCGTTCCTTCTCCTACACGTCGAGCCGGAGCCCCGGTTACCCGTTAGGTTCTCCGCGACGCTTCGTTCGTAACAACGTTACAAGATCATAGTCTAGAATAACATATAGGCTACTTTTATCCCAGTAACACGAACGAAGCCGCGAGCAAAAGCTAGTCAAGATAAAACTCTAAGAAAAACTTCTTGAACACGTGTAGACAAGCATAAAGATAAAAAAGGTATCTAGAAAAAAGGTTAAAGTTACGAACTTTCATCGCGATGGTTAATCTTTCTTTTAACGTCTACTTTTTTTACTTGACGCTAAAATTTTTCCTTTTTATATCTGTCTTAAGATAAAAACTGTCAAGTTTGTCGAGTACCAACAACTCTTTGTTATTCTTGAATTAGTTACGCTGCATTATTTAACATTTAACGTTGCCCCACACTTATTATTATTTATTTTTTTAAGTTGCCCCCACATTAGGATTTTCTCCTGTGTTGTGGGTGCCTTTACAAAGATATAAGGAGCTGTTAACGGGTTGCCGGGGCTCCGGCTCGACGTGCAGGAGAAGGAACGGGGTGGTTTTTAGTCAGTAAGAGTCTGACACGCCCTTCCGCCTCACCCGGGCGGGAGCTGTCATTCGATGATTTTCCCACCTTAAAAAAAAAAGCCATGCCACATACACATGACACCCAGCCCTGGAACAACAATTTGTGGATGTGATCCAAACATTTGTTCCATGCGGGAATTTTCTGGTCTGGGATTCTGCCCGGTATATGGCAATAGGCTCAGCCCCTATTACATGGGACTCATAACCTAAAATAGTGAAAAGTGGGTGTTACATTGCACAGTGGCATAATGTGCACCTCTGCCTACCCCTTCGGTGTAAGTC